TGCGGTTGCAACAGCAGAAGAGAGGTCTAGCTAGACAAGTCAGAAAGCCGACTCATCGTCAGTGTACTGAAGGGGCAGTATGCTGAAGACTGCCAGGAACTGGTGGTGTGTAAGCAATAACTCCGCATTGTCCTACCGACTAACATTGTGGCTCAGAAATTAATAGGCAAGAATTTCAAAGGTGCATCGATAACATTATGGAAACAGGTACAGCAACTGTTTCAGGCTTTTGCCACCCACAGGATCGATTAACATCTGCGACCGACAAAAAGTTGTATCGCTTAGGTGTGGCGCGCGTGGTTCACAAGTACGGTTAAACTGAAATGTCAGCCCCACCGTAAAACCGAGACTCTACCAGTGCATTCCCGTCAGTCAGTTCACGTCATGGTAGTTAGGTGTTTACTCACGCTGTCAGCCGATTGTCCGTCCACGACCCCTGTCACCAAAAGACAAAATTAGTTTTTTATCTGGGACATCAAGCCGATAGGTGTGCGGTTGATGTCGCTCTCGTAAAACGGTGATAGGGGGTGTCTTGTCCACCAGAAACCGGGCCCAACTCCTCCATGTCCATAATCGTTGACACGACGATTATCAGCTGGTCAACATAGTTGACCTTTTCAATTAGTGTAATTATCCAAGATCTGGCTTGCGGGACAGTGACCTAGGGGTGGAAGCGCAGATAACATTTAATGTCTCTATGCCCGAGAAATGGAGGGGAGCGTAAGCCGCGAGGGACAGCAGGGAGGACCCTGGCGGGTGGGGCAGCAGCATAGTCAGGCCAAAGTTAATTAAATCTGGTTAGGGTTAACCTGGCTTCCTCCGCCAACTGGCATGACAGCGTTCGACAACAGTTGACGTGTCATGTTCGCGCCCCCGCAACGAGTTCGTCAAATATACCTCAACCGCCTTCCCCCTCCCCGCTGCAGCTCGGCTCTCAATCCCGCCACCCCAACCAATACCAGCCAATTTTTTGTGAGCAAACACAATCTTACCTAGGCATTGGTTCTTCCAACAGCCCACTACTGTTCTACGAAATTGTTTATTATTGTAAAGACCTGCTGACGAATAACCGATATGTGGG